CTCTCCAGATAATTCTTAAATGCATCCACCACTTTTCGCCATCTTCATTGCTACCACTCTGGTCTAAGAGGCCATCATCTCTTACTAAGGTTCTAAAAATGCTCCATATCTTCTGGCTTCTACTCTTGCTGTCTTCAAATCAATTCTCCACTTAGCAGTTAGAAAGATCTTTTGAAAACATACATAAAATCAGGCCGTTTTCTGCTTAAAATCCTCCAGTGACTTCCCATTGGTATAAAATGAAATCCAAACTTTTCATGTGGCCTAAGGACTTGTGTGATCTGGCCTCTCCCTGTCCTGCCATCCTAGGCTATACCATCTCCCTCATGTATAACTCCAATGCTTCAATCACACTAGCTGCCTATGTACTCCTCTAGAGTTTTATTAAAAGAAAACCAACAGCTCTTAAGCAGTCAGTGAACACCCCCAAACTCACAACACCACAAAATGAACTTACCTACCCAGGTGTAGTGCCTTGGTAGAGCTGAGTCATCAGCAGAAAGTCTGGTCATTACGCTCATCCTGTCACTTGGTCACTAACTCCCACTCCCACCTCCACAGTGGTGGCTCACTTTTGCTTCAGGGACCTCTCATCATCAGGCATGATTTCCCTGGAGTCTGTTCATGATTCTCTGTTCCTAGGTGGTCACTGAAGCACACCTGATCCAGGGCCTTCTCCAAACCCACCCAGATACTCAGCAGAACTTGTGGGCTTGGTAGGTGGAGAAGCCAGGGAGTTTTGAAGCCTCTGCTCTTAGATTAATTGCAGGGAAGCAAGTAACATATATGGATGAAGTGTGGCTGGAAAAAGCTAATAAATGGCAATGACACCAAGCCTTAGCAACTGGACACAGGGAATGGTGGGGGCTGTGGTAAACATAAAGCTCACTCAGGTCTCATCTGAAATAGCAAGTTACTGTTCTCTTCTCTTCTTCCCACCAAGCCAACTGCTTTCATAGAGAAATTCAGGTCCATTTGGTATGGGTTGCCTGAAATTTCATGAGAAAGTTCCTGATTTTAATTACTGCAATTAGTCCAAATTTAAATAAATTACCACGTGGACAAACAACCAAAACAAATCACAGATAGGCTGCCATTCTGCTGTCTCTGGCTTATAATGCTTCCAAATTAGGGTGCCCTGCTCCACTGGTTTAACTAAGTACAATTAGGAATTGACTTTTCACACCTTCACTGCTATTAACACATCTTCCTCTTCCAAGGCACCTGAACCGGGGCTAAGTGGGTAAAGTATCATCATTTTCAAGTTCATTTACGACTACTACAGTGAGCTGTGCCTTGCTCCAGCCCTGCTGTTCTTGCAGTTCTTTTCTGACTTGTGTATCTGTCACTCAGAGGGCTACATATCACCTGTCTGGGGTGGCCAAACTCCCCCGTTAGCATCTTGGTTTGCCACCATTAGAGGTGCTAGGCCAACCAGGAAATAAAATGTTTGCCATTTTACCACTGAAAATTACTATTAGCCACTCCCAGAGAGACCGTCTCACCAATGTAAAGATGAAAGGAAATTTGGTTCAGACCAGTATCGAGTGATTGGAACGATGATGGGACGGCAGCTTAGAAGTCGCAGCTTCCAGCCCGTTGCTGTGGTTGACTGTGAGCACAGTCAGGCTGCAGCCTTTTCCTCTGTGGTCCTGTGAGCAGCATTTCTCTTGTCTCCTGGTCCTGAAAGGCTCCCACACTGAGGCTGGTTCATCATCTCAGGAGCATCTGACTGTCTACAGAGGAAATATTTCCCAATAGTGAAGGTAGCTGGGTATAAGGAGCTTGAGCAGTTTTAGTGTAAGGGCGGTTAGATCTGATCTTTATTGTCTGATCTTTTGTTTATTTATTGTCCTACCTCTCATGGCACACATACTCCTTCCACCCCCAACTACCAACATGTGTACATCCCAGAACATAAACTCTACCAAGGCAGGGACACCTAACCGTCTTGTCCACTGTACCGTAACCCCCATGTCTAGAATAGACACGTGCTCAATAAATACTGGCTGAATATTGTGAACTGGTTAAGAATCTTACTTATATAAGTTGGCTCAGGCAACTTTACATCAAGGCAGGCGGGGCTAGATACGCCTCACTGATATTCCTTCAGCACCGAGATTCTGTCTCAATGTTGAGAATCCCACAGGCCCCTGTCAGTCTGAGCCAGCAGCTGCTTCGTGAAGGGGAGAAAATGAAGTTACTAGGCAGATGGGGTGGGGGAGGGGTGGAAGATGGGTGAGAAGCAAGAGCATCTCAGAAGATGAATGGAGGGAGTGCTAAGGGGTATGACAGAGTGGGAATGTGGCAAGATCATAGCCATGGTGATGCCTTTTTCCCCAGGACAAAGGGGGCAGGGATGCAGAGTGCCAGGTAGCATTTGATTTGGCCAAAGGGACAGTCATTGCAGCAGGGCACGGATGCCCTGAGAAGAGAGGGCTCAACCAAGAGTGAGAGCTAAAATCTGGAAACAAAGAGCCTTCGAAAGGCGGAACTACTCCTGTGCCTCCAGGCCTTTCGGGGTTAGCAGACATTCAAACCCTGACTGAGGTCAGAGGCAGGGGCAGAGAGGACACGCCTTTTTCTTTTTAACAAAACATCTCTTGAAGAGACTCCATATCTCCCTTAATCACAGGCTGTCTTTGGATTGTGAAAATGAGCTTTCTGACTGCTCATAGCTTCCCTGAGGCTGAGGAATGGCTCCTTGCCATCCTCAGCAAGCAAAACTGGCTTGAAGCCAGTCCAGTCACCTTTTCACTGGAGGACTGCAGAATCCCTCTCTGAAGCCACTCAGCCACCACACAGAGGCTGCAGTACAGCTGGGCCCATGTTGACCCGCCCTGGCAGAGTTCCATAAATCCCCAAGTCCAGACCAGGTCACAAATCACATTTAATTAGATCTTCAATAAAAGTACCTTTGAAAGAAATTTAAATTGTTCCTTCCTCCCAAGAAAGAAAGCCTGGAATTTTTCGGAATAAGAAACCTCTTAGAACTGAGTTAGTAGAAGTGACTCCTTGATAAACTATCCAGCAAATGAGAAATGGAAGAGATAGCTTCCCTTCTTTAAGCAGTGTTGATTGGAATCTGTCAGCAACAAAGACAGAGGGGGAGTTGTTTCTCAGAGGAGGTCAGAGGAGGGCAGGGGGATGGAGGAACAGGGAGGAAGTGATGTTTGATTCCACTCTCAACCAGATCCATTTCCAATTCACTCTAACTCAGTGGTGGACCCAACAAAAGAATGATGGCATTTGTTTGTTTTTACATTATTTTAATACCTTGCTGGGGAAAATACAGTACTCTTGTTAGGGGAACCACTGACTGAAACCACCCACCCTGGCCAGGCCCAAGAGTAACCACTTGCATGAGTTATCTTAAACAGGAGGTCCTGGTAAGGAACGCGGAACTAACAAGCTGCCGCCAACTGGAAGAATTCAGGAAAGGTCAAAACGAGAGAGGAGACATCAGTCCACATGTCCTACCAACCTCCCAGATTCCTTCTCGCTGGAATCCATCTTGGCTGAGTGATGTGGAAGCCACCAGGAAGGACCCTGAGTCAGAATGATTGGCCAGGGACAACCTGGAAACTAACCCCATCACCGTAAAACCCTGAGACTGCGAGCCACGTGGTAGAGCAGTCCTCCTGGATTCCCTTACCCTACTGGTCTCCGCCCGGGCGCCCCTTCCCGATAAAATCTCTTGCTTTGTCAGCACATGTGTCTCCTCCAACAATTCTTTTCCAAGTGTTAGACAAGAGCCCACTTTCAGGCCCTGGAAAGGGTCCCCCTTCCTGCAACACTCTGACAACAGACTTAGAAACATGATCCTGCCTGGATTGTTAAGACTACAGTACCTGACATATTCCCTAGATTTGTCAAGTTCTCAGGCAAAGTCTCCCCAGGCTAGTCCAGGTGTAATCCCACTCTGGTGGGTTGACAGCAGGAAGCAAGATGGACAATTTGAATAATAAATCACTGTTAATGGGCAGCAAAACACGGATGAGAAATTTCCCCCATCCTCAGGAGGCTCGCTCCCCTGCATGAGGAATGAACTAGAGGGTAGGATCTCAAACACACACCTACATATGCATTCTTGCAGGAAGCATACACCCTTCGAGGAAAGATCTTTTGGACTCGTCAATTTATGCAGCCCAGCAGAAATGTATCAAATCTCAAATCTGGTAAAGTTTCCTTCTTCCCTTCATTCCTCAGTGAGGAGAGGGAGATGAGGTGGAGGTGGGCTTGAGTTTTTTCTAAAAATCATTTATTATCTTGGTTCTCTGGATAACTACAATTGTATTTCCCCCCTCCCCCCCTCATTCCCATCCCTTCCGGAGGATGAAGCCGGATTTCTCCGCCCTCAGCTAAGGTTGCCCCTTTCCTTCCCAGCCAGCTGCACACAGCAGCTGGAGCCAGAGCATCGCTGGACTTCCAATGCGGGCGGGCGCAGCAAGGAAGGAGGCAATACGGGAGGCTCCCGAGCTGCAGCCTCTCTTTACCCAGATGCACTGGAGATTTAATTTTAATTAACCGTGAGAGCTATAGCACTGAGGATTGAATTTTTCAAAATAGAGCACAATCCCGCTTTTTGTCTTCCTTCCTTTCCCAAAAGCATCGAAATAACACACACACACACACACTCACACACACACACACACACACACACACACACACGAGGAACAAAGAATCTCACCTACACGTGCCGGGGAGATAGGCAGGCGGACAGTTTGAACGGTAAGGACGTCGCCTTGGGGGAGCGGTTCTGCGCTGGGAGAATAGAGAGCCCCTGAGGCGGCCGCGCGGGGTGGGGCGGGGCTATGGAGAGGGGCGGGGCGACGCGAGGCAGCGCGAGTGGACTGGACGGGGCGGGGCGGGACGGGACGGGGCGGGGCCCGGGCGGTCACGTCGGCGTGAGCCCCATGTCCGGCATATTTATAAGGCGGCGTGGGTGCATTGACTTAACCTGGCCTACGCTTCATCACTCAAATGTCCCGTGGCCGTGAGTTTGCCTGGCAGCAGGCTTGATGCAGCACCAAGTGGCCATCGTCACCGGCGGGGGTACGGGCATCGGAAAGGCCATGGCGACCGAGCTCCTGCATCTAGGTGCGTGAGCAGGCCTCTGGGCTAGGTTACTCAGAGCGAGAGAGCCTTAGAAGCTGGCGGAACCTGGGGTCGGGAGCCAGGGGGCCAGAGGCGGGCTTAGGAGAGCGTGAAGTTGCAAAGCAAAGGAAGTGTAGCTGTGGGTGGAATTTAAACCGCGAGGGAGAGTGGAGAGAGGAGAGTTCTAAGAAAAGTTGTGGAGAAGCGGTGGATGATGAACCACTATTTGTAAACTAAAGGGAAAATTTAGAGCCAAAGATACTGTGTCCGAGGTGGGGATTAAGGAGACGTGTGGAATCATGCTATGGAACTAATTATGGATGTGAATTTAAAATTAATTCTTTCTAGGGAATTCCCTGGCGATCTAGTGGTTAGGACTCAGGGCTTTCCTGCCGGTGGGCCTGGGCTGGATCCCTGGGCGGGGAACTAAGATCCCACAAGCCGTGCTGCTGGGCCAAATAAATAAATAAATTCTATTTATTGCCTAATGAATGATTAGGAAACATGGGAAGACTTCATTTAACTGGAAAAGGTAAAAGTCTCCCATCATATAATCTTCTCGAATCTCTTGTAATAGTTACCTTAACTTGGGTGAAGGGAGGACTTGATAAGCAATAAACAAGGAAAGAAACCACAAAAGGGAAAATAGATAAATATGAAGATGTATATCCTCATTGAATTAAAAAATATATGTGAATAAAGTTTGAAGGAACATGAAGAAAAACATTTACAATGTACAACAAATTTATTATATAAAGAGATCTCATAAATAAATAAGGAAAAGATCTAACAACTGATAGAAAGATAGGCTTCTGATATGGGCCAAGCATTTTAAATCAAGAACTAAAAAAAAGCAGTAAGTATATGAAAAAATAGTCAACTTTTTTGGCAATGAAATGCAAAATATAGCAATAAAAAGATGCCACTGGTTTTTTAACAGAATTTTAAAACATTGGGGAAAATGAAAGTGTTGATGAGGAAGTGAGAAGGCAGGCAAGAATGTAAATTATTACAAGCTTTCTAGAGGTCAGTTTGGGAAAAAAAATCCAAAAGTATTAACAGTATTTGTGCTGTATGACCTAGTAATTCCTCTCTCAGGAATTTACTCTTCGGAAATAATCAGGGACAAGCACGGATTTGTGTACAAGAATGTAGTGTTGAATAGTGAAACATGATAAGGGAAAAGACTAAATCAGTAACAATGAAATATGCTGCTATTTAAATATCTTGCTATTGAAGATTTTGTTGTCAAATGCATACCATATAATTGAAAAAAATCAGGATTCTAAACAAAATATAGCATTCCAATTTAATTGTTAATGAAAAATATATATGCAGAAGAAGACTGAAAAGAAGTTTGTAATATTGTTATCAGCAACTACTTTTTCTGGAAATGATTTGAATGATGAGTGGTTAAACTGTACTCATTTTTCAAATTTTTTTAATGAACATGTAAGTTGTCTTTGCTTACCATTGTGTTTCTCATGCCCGGCACAGCATATGAACTTAAAAAAAGTATGTTGAAAAAAAGGAAAAAATACATCTTAATAAGAAAAAAAAAGAAAATTAGCATTTCTTAATCTGACCCTAGTGTAGCTTCATCACCATTACTACCCACTTTACTTCCAACACCAAAACTCTAACCCTGTTCAGGAAAATCCATTAGAAAAGTAGAATCGGTTATCATTTTCTGTGAAGGTCAGATACCAGGCTTCACAGCAGACTGGTCAGATCCTGGTTCAATCTTCCAATGTACTTTAAAAAAAAGTAATGTATTGGAAATGCATTTCCTTCAGTGAAAGAGTATACAACTAATTTTTACTCTGACTTGCTCGGCTTTCTTTTTTTATTCCAGGATTAATGGCTGTTTCCTGAAAATTGTTATAGAAACCTAAATTGGGCAAATAAAATAAAATGTTAGCCAATTCAGTTTCCAGTGAGAAGGCTCCCATTTTTTGGTGTGAATTACAAGTTGGATTTTGAGGCATGCTTTTTAAAAATAAATTTATTTATTTTATTTATTTATTTTTGGCTGCGTTGGGTCTTCGTTAATGCGCGCAGGCTTTCTCTAGTGGTGGCGAGTGGGGGCTACTCTTTGCGCGCTGCAGTGCGTGGTCTTCTCACTGGGTGGCTTCTCTTGTTGTGGAGCATGGGCTCTAGGCATGTGGGCTTAAGTAGTTGTGGCGCGCGGGCTCAGTAGTTGTGGCTCGCGGGCTCTAGAGTGCAGGCTCCGTACCTGTGATGCACAGGCTTAGTTGCTCTGCGGCATGTGGGATATTCCCAGACCAGGGCTCGAACCCGTGCCCCCTGCCTTGGCAGGCGGATTCTTAACCACTGCGCCACCAGGGAAGTCCGAGACATGCTTTTTTGTTTGTTTGTTTTGTTTTTGTTTTTGCTGTACATGGGCCTCTCACTGTTGCGGCCTCTCCCGTTGCGGAGCACAGGCTCCGGACGCGCAGACTCAGCGGCCGTGGCTCATGGGCCCAGCCGCTCCGCGGCATGTTGGATCTTTCCGAACCGGGGCACGAACCTGTGTCCCCTGCATCGGCAGGCGGACTCTCAACCACTGCGCCAGCAGGGAAACCCTCGAGGCATGTTTTTTAAAGTGATGATTGTGTTGTCTTTCACATCCAAATGATTTTGTCCCTTTTCTGAGAGGATGCTGAAAGCCCTAGCTCACAAGGGCAGGATGTAGGGAACAGAATTGAAACCCTCTTCCTCTATTTGACAGATGCTCTTAGACCAGAGGAGTCCTGATTCCATCAAAGAATATTGAACCTAAGACCATTCACATTGAATTCAAGCTAAATCCTTGTCTCTGTCCTCAAGTTAGTCATTCTCTTTCTGTTGACAGTGGGTGAAATGAAAGTAGGAATTGCAAGTGGAAATTGTGAGGCAAGACAGCACTCTTTCTTGCTCTGGTGACTAGGCTCTTATCAACACCAGGGACCTAAAAGGCGCTTACATGTAGCACTCTGAGTTGAAGATTGAAAGGAATCAGTATCAGCCCAAGCAGAAAAGCAATATATTTGGCTACAAATGCCTCTGATGTGGAAATAACTCATTATTTGCTAGTTACTTCTGTACCTTGTTCTAAGTAAGTTTATCAAGCTTTCTGAATTTCTCTAGCAACTCATATAAACAGCAAAAAAAGTCCATCTAAATCATTTAGCGTAAGGGTGAGGAGAAGGATATCGTCTAATAATTTTCTAGTTTATTATAAAATAAGAGCATTGCAATAAATTCAGGTAGTATGGAAGTATATAAAAGAAAAAAATGAGCTTTCCCATTCTGCCCATCTCCTAAATCCCGTTCCTGGTGATTTTCTATGAGTCACCCACATGCACACATATACACTTGTGTGTATTTTGTTATTTACAAAACTGTGACTGTAGTATTCTTACTGTTCTGTAATTTTTTCTTTCCATGCTAGTGCATATAGTAGTACTTCATTCTTCTCAAAGTTATATAGTATTCTATTGTATGGATATGTAACAACTTATTTAACCATTCCTTTAATGGAAATTTAGGTTTCTAGTTCTACCCAGCACTGCAGCATTCCGCCTTGTAATACTTTTGCCCCCTGGTTCAAGTTTATATAGCAGTTAAAATAAATAGCCTTTTAAAGTTGTGTCCCAGTATAGCTCTGCTAATATTAGATAACTTTCCTGAAGCCTTCAGGGTTCAGATAGTAATTAGTGATAATTTAGTAAACTTCTAATTCGATAATTCCTGTGAATAATCCTATTTATATTTTCATTATATCTCTTATTTGAGGCCTTGGACAAAGTCAGGCATTAATCACCTTAGTATTCTTGAGGATTTTTTTTTTTTAATGAGGCTTAACTTCTTAATGTGGATTCAGGAAGAGTTGTAGATGTCAGATTTCCATGCCTTGTCAGCCTGTGCTCTGCTCTGGGAACTAGAGCAGTTAATGCCCATCTTTAAGGCAAAAAGATCAGAGAAAAGAAGGTGATGGGCAGAGGCAGTGGCTAATCCAGGGGAACTTGTTTCTCCTTTCCGTTCTGTTATTGAGATTAGCTATTCCTCCTAATTCAGGGAAACCTGGCTGAGCGTTGGACCTGGGCTAGAAATGTGTATTTCAATTCTTTCCCCACCTGGGAGTAGAAGCTTCCTCCTGGAAACAGAAGAAGAAAGGAATAACGGTTCTCCTAACAGTATAATATATGCTTTGTTGAAAATTATACATCAATTTTTAAAAATAAATTTATTTATTTATTTTTGGCTGCGTTTGGTCTTCGTTGCTGCGCACTTCTCTGGTTGTGGCGAGGGGGCTACTCTTCGTTGAGGTGCATGGGCTCCTCATTGCGGTGGCTTCTCTTGTGCGGAGCACAGGCTCTAGGCACGTGGGCCTCAGTAGTTGTGGCATGCCAGTTCAGTAGTTGTGGCTGACGGACTCTAGAGCTCAGGCTCAGTAGTTGTGGCACATGGGCTTAGTTGCTCCATGGCATGTGGAATCTTCCCAGACCAGGGCTTGAACCTGTGTCCCCTGCATTGGCAGGTGGAGTCTTAACCACTGCACCACCAGGAAAGTCCTATACATCAATTTTGATAAGTTGAATTCTATTTTAAAGTTAGTCTTGTCTTGCAAGGAATTCATGGTGAATCTTTTTAATATTTGCTTTATAAAGCTCTCAGATTGCCTATCAGAATTTCCAAAAGTTGTCTGCATTTGTAACTCACTAAATTATAACCTAATCTTGAAAAATAGTTTTTTAAAGTGCCTTATTTTAACATGCAGAAGCTACCTCATCACGTACAACTAGAAAGGTTGTGGTCAAACAGAGAGCCATTTTACTCTTTACCTTTCTAAGTGTCATTTATTCCATACATGAATATTGAATGTGGACTGTTTGTGAGTGTAATAATTACACTGACAGGGTCCCAGTCCTCCAGGAGATGATAGTGAGTCGGGGGAGACTTAATTATCATACAATACTGGTTTAAATGCTGTATTAGAGTGAGGTCAGGGATATGGGAGCATGTAGAAGGAGCTGCCAATCTGGGCTCAGTGAGGGAGAGGAAGGAGGGTCGTCAACATAGTTGTGATTATCAATATAGTTCGCTTTAAATCTGCCATATACATCTGGGCTTCCCAGAGGTGGTGAGGCTCTTCCCTCTCTGTTTCAAGGCTGTCTTGGCACGTATTTCTGCTTTTTATATTTGTACATGAAAAGAAGGAAGCATTCTCTAGGATAAACTAACATGTGAGGCAACAATGAGCAATAAGGTTCAGCATTACTTAGTAAGATAAATGAATAGTCCAGTGTCTCATAGCTTAATATTTTTACTTAAGGAAAGCACTGGTGGAGTGTCAGCATTCCCAGGGGTAGCTCTTCCTTTTATAACTCCATTTACGCACAATTCTAATTTCACTTTCAGTGTGACCAATTTTTATTTGTTGCACTTTCATCTTTGTTGGCCAGTCTCTCCTTCAGTCATTGGTTTTTGTAAAATGTCACATGGGTTTATCATTGGGAGACAAGGAGGCAACACAACTGCATTCTTTGCCGTCTGTACACGAATTGAAGAACAGATGCACAGTGGCCAATCACTTACAGACAGTGAAAGAAGTGAAACAATTAGTCACTGACAGTGACGTGCATCTGTTATTCGCATGCTGGTCTGTGGATTTGTACTGGTGGTACAGTTTATATTTTATGCAATTACTCACAGTTAATCTGCCATGGTAACTGGAATCTGAACAGTGTTGTTGGGGGTCTGGTGTTATTTAAACTAAGGTAACTGAAATTAGTGTGTATTAGAGCCGAGCAAAACAAGGACTGCGGATACTTCTACTTCACCCTTCCTGGACATTGTGTAACAATTAAATGCTCATACATTTTATTTCTACATATGTTATAAAGCCTACAATACACTGGTATCATTTTTACTTTAAACAATCACTACCTTTTAGAGAGATTGAATAGAAATAAGAAAAGACTTCATATTTACTTTATTTACTCACATAATTACCATTTCCAGTTCTCTTTCTTCTTTTGTAGATTTAGATTTTCATCTGGTATCATTGTCCTTCTGTTTGAAGACCTTCCTTTAATCTTTTTGTAGTGCAAGTCTACTTTAATGAATTCTTCTGGATATCATATGTGTGAATAAGTCTTTAATTTGCCATTACTTTTTTTTTTTTTTTTGCTGTACGCGAGCCTCTCACTGTTGTGGCCTCTCCCGTTGCGGAGCACAGGCTCTGGATGCGCAGGCTCAATGGCCGTGGCTCACAGGCCCAGCCGCCCCGCAGTATGTGGGATCTTCCTGGACCGGGGCACGAACCCACGTTCCCTGCATCGGCAGGCAGACTCTCAACCACTGAGCCACCAGGGAAGCCCTGCCATTACTTTTGAAAGCTATTTTCACTGGGTAAGAGTTCTAGGTTCCAAAACTCCCACCGCCACCCACATCTCCAGTACTTTCAAGATATTCCACTATCTTCTGGCTTGCATTGTTTCTGAAAAGAAGTGTTCTGTCTTCCTTGTCTTTTTTGTGTTCTTTTCCTCTGACTGCTTTTAATATTTTCCTCTTTATCATTGGTTTATTTAATTATGTCATCAGTGCCATTCCTGGACCTGTTTTTATTAATTTGCTTTTCTCCTCATTCTGGGTTGTATTTCCCTGCTCCTTTGTATGCCTTGTGGCTTTTTGTTGGATGCCAGACATTTGAATTTTACCTTGTTGCAGGCTAGTTTTTTTTGTATTCTTATAAATATTGCTGAACTTTGTTCTGTGATGCAATTAAGTTACTTGGAAACAGTTTGAAAATTTTTAGAGCTTGGGAACAATCTTTCCCCAGCCTCAGATTGTTTCCTTACTCGTATGTACTGATCAGTGCTCAGCTGAAGATCTGAGGGAACTCTACGGATCTCTGGAGTTCTCCCCCTGTGTACCTCCTTTCTCTCTGTGCCCTGTGTAATCTAGCTGTCTTGGCCTCCCTGGACTCCCAACTTCATCTCTTCTACCCAGGAGACTGCTGGGCTCTGAATGGGTTCCTCCTCCCTATGTTGCAGCCTGAAGACTCTCTCTAGGCAGCAATCTGGAATAATAATAGGGCTCACATTGTTTGTGTTCACTCTCTGGGATCACTAGCCTGTGCTACTTGATATCCAGTGCCTGGAAATCATTATTGCGTATATTTTGTTCAGTTTTTTAGTTGTTTTGGGCTGGAGGGTAAGTTCAGTTCCTATTACTCCATCTTGACCATATGCAGGAGTCCTAATTCATCTGTTTTTACAAGAACACATGAAACATTTTCTAAACATTATTACTTTCAGAACTTGGACAACCAGTGAAAACATATTTAGTTGTTCTTTGGCTGTTGTCTCCTCAGGGTTTAATGTGGTCATTGCATCCCGTGAGTCTGATAGATTAAAATCTGCCGCAGATGAACTGAAGGCCTGTCTGCCTCCTACCAGCCAGGCTCAAGTCACTCCCATAAAATGCAACATCTGTAATGACAAGGAGGTAAAGCAAATCTATCTTTGTTTTTTTTAATTTTATTGTAGTATAGTTGATTTACGACGTTGTGTTTAATTTCTGCTGTCAGCAAAGTGACAGTTATACAGATATATATTCTTTTTCATTTTCTTTTCCATTACGGTTTATCACAGGATATTGAATATAGTTCCCTGTGCTATACAGTAGGACCTTGTTGTTTATCCATTCTATATGTAATAGCTTGCATCTGCTAATCCCAAACTCCCAATCCTTCCCTCCCCCTTGGCAGCTACAAATCTGTTCTCTATATCTGTGAGTCTGTTTTTGTTTCATAGATATATTGATTTGTGTTTTATTTTAGATTCCACATATATGTGATGTCATATGGTATTTGTCTTTCTCTTTCTTAGTTCACTTAGTATGATAATCTCTAGATCCATCCATGTTGCTGCAAATGGCATTATTTCATTCTTTTTTTTTTTTTTTTTTTTGCGGTATGCGGGCCTCTCACTGTTGTGGCCTCTCCCATTGCAGAGCACAGGCTCCGTACGCGCAGGCTCAGCGGCCATGGCTCACGGGCCCAGCTGCTCCACGGCATGTGGGATCTTCCCGGACCGGGGCATGAACCCGTGTCCCCTGCATCAGCAGGCGGACTCTCAACCACTGTGCCACCAGGGAAGCCCCTATTTCATTCTTTTTAATGGCTGAGTATTATTCCATTGTGTGTGTGTGTGTGTGTGTGTGTATCACGTCTTTATCCATTCATCTGTTGATGGATATTCAGGTTGTTTCAGTGTCTTGCTATTGTAATACTGTTGCTTTGAACATTGGGGTGCATGTATCTTTTCAAATTATAGTTTTGTCTGGGTATATGGCCAGCAGTGCAGGAGTGGGATTTCTGGATCATAGGGCAACTCTAGTTTTAGTTTTTTGAGGAATGCAAATCTATCTTACTTATTCATTCATTTTAATTTATAGTAGTTGTCCCTAAACCTGACTGTGCTTTAAGTTTTCCCATAGTAGCTATCTTAGATGAGGTTCACTAGAAGCAGAGCCTGTGAAGGAGATTCTTGAGCTAATGATCTATATTGAGTGAGTGGCCTCTGGCGAAAGAGAGGAAGGGAAGAAATGTAGGGAAGCTAAGCAAGGACAGTTTCATCTGGAGACTACCTTTTGTGCCTTTTGCCCTTTAACTCATTTTGTAATGTCTGTTTCATCACTATCCATTATTCTGTGTTGGTAGCTTACAAATTAAAACAATGGAGGGGTGATCCAGGTCCTTGGATAAATCTTGTCATTAAAATTCCAAATTTAGCTTTATGATCTGTGGGTTTCGGATACTGGTAAATTATTCACTGATATAGGATTTTCAGGTTTATTCATTGTGACTACCTCTCCGTTTACTGTGGTTCTCAGAGTTACTATTCACTGTGAGACACTGCAAGCTCTGCTACTCTACTAAAGCAGGCAATAAAGTCCAAGTAGCAAGTTAGGTTATTAACCAGTTCACTTTTAACATTTTATTTATTTATTTATTGAAGTGCAGTTGATGTACAATTTATATGTTACAGGTGTATAATATAGTGATTCACAATTTTTAAAAGTTATACTCCATTTATAGTTATCATAAAATATTTGCCATATTCCCCATGTTGTATAATATATTCTTGTAGCTTATTTTATACCTCATAGTTTGTACTTCTTAATCTCCTACCCTTCACTGCCCCTCCCTTCTTCCCTCTCCACATTGGTAACCACTAGTTTGGGCTCTATGTCTGTGAATCTGCTTATTTTTTGTTATATTCACTAATTCATTGTATTTTTTAGATTCCACATATAAGTGCTATCATACAGTATTTGTCTTTCTCTGTCTGTAACCAGTTCACTTTATTTATTTATTTATTTTTGTGGTACGCGGGCCTCTCATTGTTGTGGCCTCTCCCGTTGCGGAGCACAGGCTCCGGATGCGCAGGCTCAGCGGCCACGGCTCACGGGCCCAGCCGCTCCGCGGCACGTGGGATCTTCCCGGACCGGGGCACGAACCCGTGTCCCCTGCATCGGCAGGCGGACTCTCAACCACTGCGCCACCAGGGAAGCCCACCAGTTCACTTTTAATGTTTTTCTTTAGGCGAATAATTTGGTCAAAGCCACCTTAGACTTTTATGGTCAGGTCAGTTTCTTGGTAAACAATGGAGGAGGCCAGTTCTTCTCTCCTTCTGAACACATCAGTTCAAAGGGGTGGAATGCTGTGATTGAAACCAACCTGATGGGCACCTTCTACATGTGCGAAGCAGGCAAGTGTGATCCATCATCCAGGAAGTCCAAGTGCCTTTATGTAAAGGTCATAGAGGATCCTGAAAGAGCAATTGTTATGGGCTCAGAAGCTCCATGTCATAAACACTTACTGCCCTGATTTAACTTACATACAACATAGCAATGCAAATTGCTGCATTTCTGGATAGTAATTCGGCAACATTTATAAAATACAAATATTGTTTGATCTGTCACTTTTATTTCTAGGAAGTTATCATGTAAAAATTATTCAGAATTTGTGCAAAGATATTGCTACAAAGTGCTTCATAACATAAAGGAAGACTCCACACTTATTTTGGTTTTAAGAAATGAATCTGTTAAATCTATTACAAGGACCTATTAATTAATTCAGTGAAATCTTCAGGGAGAATACAAGTCCACATTTTTTATGACCAATAATTAGCACACATGCATAGTCTTTAGATTAAAGCTTATGTTTCATAGGTGGTAATACTCAACCCTGAAGTTGGGTAACTGAAGAGTTCCCTTACAAACTATCCAAGACATTTTTATGCTGAAATGTGGAACGAGTATAATTCTGAACCACAGGGTTGTCACCCTAACATGGGTTAGGCTTTATATTCTTTTCTTTTTTTTTTGCGGTACGCGGCCCTCTCACTATTGTGGCCTCTCCCGCTGTGGAGCACAGGCTCTGGACGCGCAGGCTCAATGGCCATGGCTCACGGGCCCAGCCGCTCCGCGGCATGTGGGATCTTCCCAGACTGGGGCACGAACCCATGTCCCCTGCATCAGCAGGTGGACTCTCAACCAGTGCGCCACCAGGGAAGCCCCATGGCTTTATATTCTTAGTATCTCTAAATCAAAGGTCTTACAGACACTTCCAGCCTCATCTTTATTCAACTGGTCGTATACAGTTCTGTATTAATTGTGATACAGGATGAGCTGCTGAAGTGTAGAGATCCATAAAAAAGAGGAGCTTGAATAAGATAGTTGACTTCTCCCTCACATAAAAACTCAAGGTATATAGTCCAGGGATAGTATGGTAGTTCCATAATCATTAGGGAATAAGGATCCTACTTCTTGCTTTACTATCTTTGACATATGGTTTCCATCCCATGGTCCAAAATGGCTGCTCCAGTTCCTGTCATTGTAACTGCATTCCAGACAGTAGGAATGAGGAAAAATGTAATACTCACTCTTTCTTTTTAATAGCACCATCTGGAAGTGGCACCATTACATTCACTGACATTTATCATCAGCTAGGACTCAGTTAAACGATCATACCTACCTATAAGGGATACTGGGAAATAGAATCTTTAGGTGAGTAGCTATGTGCCTAAGTACAAATTCAATTTCTATGTAAGAAGAGGAGAATGAGTGTTAGGAGGTAGCTTGTAGTCTCTAACCCACCCTTCATAGCTCAGCACTTCAACACCTTCCAGCACTCAAGTCAACAGTCTCTTACCAACCTGAGGTTCCTTGCCAACAGCCATTAATTAGAAATCTGCAGAGTCTAGATTCAGTTACGATTTTTATTAGCCAGAATTGAATTAAAGAATACAGGGCCTCTAGTTTTTGTTTTGTTTTGTTTTACTTTAAACAATGGGACTTAGCTTTTGGTTTTGAAAACAAGGAATATGAAACATACATTTTTCTGTACCATAATAATAACAGTGAAAAACTGAAAACCATTTAAATATCCTAGCGTAAAATATTAGTTGAGTGAAGTTTTATACATCTACAGGAAAGAGTACTATGCAGCCACTAAAAATATAGGTATAAAAATATACTTCTCAATATGAAAAGATATTCCCAGACATCGAGTGAAAAGCAGGTTATAAAACATTCTATCCAGCATGATCACATTTCTGCAAAAAACAGTATATACTTATATATGGCTGTATATGAATAGACATAATTCTGAAGGAGTTTATACCAAAATACTGACATATTATCTCTGGGAGGTAAAATTACATATTATTTTCATCTTTTTGCATATTTGCTTTTTCTAGTTTTTCTAAAATGAACATGTATTTTTTAGGTAATTAAAATGATTTAAGTCATGACTGCCCTGAAGTTCCAGGTTTTTCAACTTGTACTCTTTGACACAATATGCTATTGTTAAAGACTTGTGGGAACATCCACATATAAATTACTGGTGAATTTAGACTTTCCTATAGCCTTTAATTATTCATTTTACTAATATAGGAATTTCTTTCTCCCAGTTTATTTTTGGAAACCTCTTGAATGTGTGAAAAAGTTAAAGAAATAATACAATGAACTCCTATTAGGCATACCTCGTTTTATTATGTTTTGCTTTGTTGCACATCGAGCAAGTCTGCCAGCACTGTTTTTCTAACAACATTTGCTTACTTTGTGTCTCTGTGTCATATTTAGGTAATTATCGCAATATTTCAAATTTTTATTATATTTGTTATGATGATTTGTGGTCAGTGATCTTTGATGTTACTATTGCAAAAAGATTACGACTTGCTGAAACTCAAATGATGGTTAGCACTTTTTAGCAATAAAATATTTTAAAATTAAGGTTGTACATTATTTTTTTATACATAATGCTATCGCACATTTAATAGACTATAGTTTAGTGTAAACATAATTTTTATATGCACTGGGAAACAAAAAAATTTTCTTAATTCACTGTATTGCGATATTGCTGTATTGTGGTGGTCTGGAACTGAACCTGCCGAAATCTCCAAGCTGTGTCTGTATACCTTTCATTCAGATTCACCAAGTGCTAACATTTTGCTTCATTTGCATTCTCTCTCTGTGTCTTTCCCCCCTCTCTTCCTCCCTCCCATCTCTGGAGCTCGTTTAGGCAGTGCTCTGAATCCCCTCTCCTCACGCACCCCGAAACAATTGTCTTCTTGCCTCTTCGGCAGGTGCAGATTTTTCCAGACTCCCTCCCGGCCAGCTGTGGCGCACTAGCCCCTTCAGGCTGTGTTCACGCCGCCAACCCCAGTCCTCTCCCTGCGCTCCGACCTCCCTCCGAAGCCCTAGCCTCAGCTCCCAGCCCCCGCCCGTCCCGGTGCGCGAGCAGACAAGCCTCTCGGGCTGGTGAGTGCTGGTAGGCACAGGTCCTCTGTGCGGGAATCTCTCCGCTTTGCCCGCCGAACCCCTGTGGCTGTGCTCTCCTCTGCGGCCCCGAAGCTACCCACCTCCGCCGCCCGCAGTCTCCGCCCGCGAAGGGGCTCCTAGTGTGTGGAAACCTTTCCTCCTTCACAGCTCCCTCCCACTGGTGCAGGTCCCGTCCCTATTCTTTTGTGTCTGTTTTTTCTTTTTTCTTTTGCCCTACCCAGGTACATGGGGAGTTTCTTGCCTTTTGGGAAGTCTGAGGTCTTCTGCCAGCATTCAGTAGGTGTTCTGTAGGAGTTGTTCCACATGTAGATGTATTTCTGATGTATTTGTGGGGAGGAAGGTGATCTCTACGTCTTACTTCTCCGCCATCTTGAAGGTCCCCCCCTCCCCGAAAGTCCCACTTCTATGTTTTTTAGCTGATACTGTTCCATAAAAAGACTTTTAGTTACACCACAACCATCACTTCTCCCTATATATGTTATTACTATTAACTTTTTTAGTATACCACTATGGAATCAAGGATTTCTTTTCAAATTCATTGTTTCAAATGCACACATTGTCTCACATTTAATAGAAATTTGTGTTTCTATGTTTCGCTATTACAAATAATTCTGTGATGAATAACATTGTAAATATTTGTTTCATATTTGTGGAGGTATATATTTAGGGTATATCCGGGAAGTTGGACCGCTGGGTGAAGAGTAAATGCATCCTGTTAGGCATTTGCAAGTTTCTTTGTTTTTCGGCTGCGCTGCGTGACATGTGGGATCTTAGTTCCCCAACCAGGGATGGAACCCATGCCCCCTGCACTGGGAGTGTGGAGTCTTAACCACTGGACTGCTGGGGAGGTCCCTGCAAGTTTCTTTGCATTTTGCACTCCATCGTCAATGAATGAGAATGCCTGTTCCTCACAGCCTCACCAAAAATGTGTCTTGTCAATTTCTGGACAACTCTGATGGGCAAGAAATGATATCCCAGTGCAGCATCTTTTCATTTGTTGAAAGGCTACCTGTATATCTCTTGTGTGTGTGTGTTTGAATTGTGTTGCTGTCTTTGCACGTGTTTCTCTGGGGTTCTGATCATTTTCTGACATTGTCAGTGTCGTCTAAGAATAGTCCAGTTTCCATTACAATCTGTGCGGAGGAGCTTAGACTGACCTGCTGATCTTTTGGGTCATTGTCAATAATTACAAGGGCAAGAGATGGGCCAAAAAGCAACTCATATCTCCCATGGAGAGAGAATTCATGGCCCAAATGCCTATCAGTGAGTGAATGAATAAACAGATCATGGTATATATGTATAATGTGCTACTCAGAAATGAAAAGGAGTGAACTGTTGATTCATGCAGCAATGTGGATAAATCTGAAAATAATTATTCTGAGTGAAAGAAGCCAGATAGAAAAGAGCATGTATGTATGATTTCATTTATATGTTTAAGTCCTAGAAGCATTGAAAAAAAATTGTTAGTGCTAGATTCACTGAGAGTTAGATATTATTCTGCCTCCTATTCATAACTTACAGGAAGAAAATGAAGCAGTGTGACAGCCTTTAGGGTGGTTTATCACTCATAATCTCTTCCTTCACACAGTGTAAGACATTTCAAATCATATCTGATACACAAATAAGGCCTTAGTATTTCAGAAGATTTTCTCAGTGAAAGAATGGCTGTGAGACGTTATTCAGATGGCAAAATGAAGTCTCATGGAACTCCTAGTCTAGATAAATGCCCTTCCTTCTCTTCTGGGCTTTTGCTTCAGAAAAGTGGCTGGAACAATGCCTCATGCGACATAGTCACCATCCTGCCGCTGAATCGTCCACCATCTGTTCTGTTTTGATGGGGGTCACTTTTTTCTCCTGGAAGGGGAGTTTTTACAGACCTCGTGGTCCATTCAGGCATCTCATCCACCTGGACCTCCCAGTAATGCTAGCCGGAATCAAATCCTTCAGAACCCAGGACTACTGGATAAGCCGTAAATCTCTCTGGATAAACTCTCTGCTTTTTCCTCACAAATGTCCCCAATTTTTTTTTAATCCTCAGAGACAGAGAGATTAGGATGTGCTGTTTCAAGATCCAGAGTAACTTTCAGTTTCTGTGTAATTCTCTGCAGTGCCAAATACTGCAGAGGAAGGCCGTCTCCTTCCTTCCTTATGGAACGAACAGAGAGCTGGGTGCTTCAGGCTTTCACACCTGTCATGGGTGGTCTCGACATCTGGCAGCACTTTCCCTTCTGACATCACACTCTTCTCTGCCAACTTCTTTAGTAGATCTTTGAGTGTGGAGATGTAGTCTGAAAATGTTATTGTGTCTGCATTGAGTTTGTATTAAATGTCCTTCTCGGCTAACCTTGAGAACTGTGTAGGGGAGGATAAATAATTTTCCCTCTGCCCTTCTGAGCTCTTAGCTGAGACTCCTGTAATAAAAGACAGATGAACAGGAGAAAAACAAATGGAAGTTTATTCACACGTATACCTCATGTATACATGGGAGGTACCCAGGGAAAAATGAGCAACTGCCTGTCGTGGCTTCCAATTCAGGATTAAGTACTATCTTAATAGGGAAAGGGGAGAGGGGATATAGGCCTCTTGGGGTGGGGAGTATATGATTTTTAGGAAAGATGAATGGGTCCTTTGAAGAACGGATGAGAGGTATGAGAGTTGGTGACAAAGTTTGTCCGCATGTGGTGTCGACATCTAGTCTCCCGTCATGTGACAACAGTCAGCCTTCCCTGGTTGATGAGACTCCCAGGGAGGGGATTTATGGCACTGCGTTCCTTTTAGCCGATGAGGGGGGTTCAGAGAAAGCCTCTCTCTGCATTTGCTGTGTTTCAAGTGCCCACAGCTGAAAATAATCAATATATCATCGCAGTAGCACATTCGGGTGGCATCCCACTCCGTTCAACGGCCTCTCGCTCACATTCAACAAACTGGTCCAGGTGCTCAAATTCAGAGAGTAATTTCTGTCTCTGATTTTCCAACTCCCTCTCTCTCCCCCTCCCTCCATCCCCCCCCACCCCAATCCTAGTAGTTTTCTTTCTTGGGTGGCTGTTTCTGAACACCTGCCACTTTCTTCTTCAGGGGCTCTAGGTCACTGCTGAGCCTTTTCCTATGATGAGAGGCAGGACCTCATATGGTGGCCCTGGTGGTCAGGGGATGAGTGCAAGGGGACAAACACCTCTAGGTTCTCCTCACAGAAACTTGCCCAAACTCGACTATGTTTCCTGCATATGCTCATCTGTTCTGCCCCCGCCTCTTGCTCCTGGTGATGTGAAGCTGTGTGTTCACCGTCGTGTCATCCTGTCCAGCTGGGCATTACTCCAGAAGGGCCCCTGCTAGCATTGGTGGCAAGCAAGGAAACCTGTCCTATAAATCCACCCGGGACTGTTGGATGCAGAGTGGCGCAAGTGGTGGCCACGTTTGATGGTGATGAGGTTGCCCAGGTAATTCTGGCAGATGGAGCGGTTGGTTTCTGCCTGGAGTCCTGCCAGGGCTTTTGCAGCCAACATGGGGACTGAGGGGGACTTTCTTCAGGAACGTGGGGCTATGGAGGTACTCTCTAGTGAGGAGTGGGTACACCCCCAGATCTCACATACTTGGTTCTGAGGACCTTTTAATTAGAAATTCTAAGCCATAGTATGTCTATACCTTTTTGCACCATATGGATACAGACCTAAGTATTTGAACCTCTTCTCTGGAAACATACTAAAATTAATTTAAATTTTTTTATGTCTAGAAATTCTGTTGATACTATTGCTAGCCTGAAGTATGAATTTCATATCCCTTATTATCTAAAATTGATTAAAAAAATAACCACACTTGTAACCCTCAAAATTACCAGTTTGTTTTCTTCCGTAATTAGAAGTTCTTCAAAATATTCCTCTTATGCACATGATGGTTTGGGGGATCTTATGTGGGCCTTGACTTACGTGAGATTTGTTTGACTATCAGATAGTTGTGGTTTTGCTTTAATATTGAAGGACCTGGTTCTTTCTTATGGTTCAGACAGGGACTCATAACAAGAACATTGTTGTGGGACTCTGACAGGTCATTGGTACACCTATCAATTTAGTTAAGGGAGACATACTCAACAGAAGCTGATTGTCATGTTTGTATTTTGTCTTTTAAAGGCATAGTGGAGCTGCCAGAGAAGGTGTTTACAACTTCACCAAATCCTTAGTGGTGGAATGGGCCAGCAGTGGAATAAGGATCAATTGTGTTGCCCCTGTAGGTAAATGTTCAATATGAAAGCTGTTGACAAATTGTGTTCTTCTGATTCCATTTGTGTTGTTGATAGAGGTATTTGTTAATATGCATGTACACTAGAAAAGATTGGCTTTTAAAAATAGATAAAACCAGAAAGAAGTATTCTTTGATTTACAACCAGATTGTCAAGGTTAAGTTAAGCCAATGATTCTCACTCCTGGCTGTGTATTAGAATCATCTGTGAAATAAAAAAATAGTGGTATATAAGCTTGACTCCAAACTATGGAATCCAGGTGTTGGTATTTTTTTAAGCTGATTCAATTGCACAGAGAAGGAAATTCAAGTTCACCGTGAAGGGTGAGAATCGCTGCCTTAAAGAATGAATTTTTCTAGATTATCTTGTTATTTCTTGGTATATCATTAATGCTTTATTAGGAGAGAGAGAAACTTAAAGTCAAAGTTCTAGGAAGGAATTTCCAGTTGAAGATCAACTATAAGTCAAGGGGAAATTTCTCTGAAACATAATGTAAATGATAGGGAGGGCTTCCCTGGTGGTGCAGTGGTTGAGAGTCCGCCTGCCAATGCAGGGGATACGGGTTCGTGCCCCAGTCCGGGAAGAGCCCACATGCCGTGGAGCAGCTGGGCCCGTGAGCCATGGCCGCTGAGCCTGCGCATCCGGAGCCTGTGCTCCGCAACGGGAGAGGCCACAGCAGTGAGAGGCCCGTGTACCGCAAAAAAAAAAAAAAAAAAAAATGATAGAGAAAAAAATAACAGTTTGTTCAGCTTTAAACACTGTCATATTATGTGAAGTAAGACATACCTTAAGCTTCCTTGGGGATTACATATTGGCCATGTACTCCAAGAGAGATAATAAATGAAACATCTCACACATCCTGCAAAACTCAGCTCAAATTCATTTCTCTGTGATGATTCCTGGTCATTGCTAAGATAGTAATCATCCCTCAATCTGAAACTCTGTAATATCTGGGGGGTATTACCTATGATCTATCTATATAGTATTCATAGATATTGTTATCTATGCTGCTCAGTGGGAACTAAGCATGAACTGACTTGTAGATGTTAGAGAAATCTCATCTCTAACAAATGCAGGTTCCTAGCCAGAAACTTCACATACCTTCAATGCTTTGGGGCTGACATTACCTTATCTACCTTACTCTCAAATATTTATAGAGTAAATTAGATATAGTTCCATTCTGAATGTTGATACTTCGGAATACTGGCCTCCAAATGTGTATTTCTTGATAACCTTTAATGATGTGTTTGTGTTATAAGCACAATACTAAAGTCAGGTTTGTCCTCCACAGATGTTTTTAGGTTTAATGTCTAAACCTTAATACTACTGGAAGATTCCATCCTCTTTATTTATTTATTTTTAAAATTTATTTATTTATTTATTTATTTTTGGCTTCGTTGTGTCTTTGTTGCTGCGTGCGGGCTTTCTCTAGTGGTGGCGAGCAGTGGTTACTCTTCATTGCAGTGCGCGGGCTTCTCATTGTGGTGGCTTCTCTTGTTGCAGAACACCAGCTCTAGGTGTGCGGGCTTCATTGGTTGTGGCTTGCGGGCTCAGTAGTTGTGGCTTGCGGGCTCTAGAGCTCAGGCTCAGTAGTTGTGGTGCACAGGCTTAGTTGCTCTGCGGCATGTGGGATCTTCCCAGACCAGGGATCAAACCCGTTTCCCCTGCATTGGCAGGCGGATTCTTAACCATTGTGCCACTAGGGAAGTCCCAATTCTATCCTCTTAAATAAAAGGTTACAAATTGTTTAATTGGAAACCGGTATATTACCCCAGTATTGTTTGGAGTAATTAATACTGCCAAGTTTCTACATCTTACTCTCATCCCTCCTGTTTCCTCCCCTTCTAATAACCTCTGCTGTATATAATTATAAGCCAGTAATAAATAGCTTTATCCTGTGTTAAACAGTTTTTGAGTAATTTTTTTGGCTTTATAAACCATTGAAAGCTACTGAAAGCTGAATAAGAGAATTCTTAAACAATTAAAATTTATTTGTATTGGATTTAAATTTTTTATTTGTGATTTTTCTCTAGGTAAGAAGCCATGAAAATATTGCATTTTCTAAGTCCTGTTTAACCATAGGCCAGTTTTCCATTGTAAAACATAGAAGCCTTAGTGGGAGGTAAAATAGACTCCCCTGACCCATTGTTCCCAGTTAAGGGCTTCTCTGATCTACTCGTATGATTATGCTTTCAGAAACCAAGTCTTTTATGAAAAAATCTCGAGCTTGGCTGGTTATTATGCGAGGGGAGGTCACAAAGTGAGCATTCAGATAATCCTTTTGAGTAGTGGTTGACTACTTCTTTGACCATTTTGAGAAAAATTAATATTAGAAATGTTAACTTGTGTATTAAACTTAAACAACTTGGTATTGGATGACAGACTGCCTTGTTGTCTTTACAATTAAAATTTAATTTTATGTACTTTATTTTTTCCTGTTTTATTTTAAACATAGGGAATCATTTATTCCCAGACTACTTTTAACAACCATGGTCATTTGGCAAAAGACTTATTTGAAGGGTACTTTTCAGAAAATCCCAGCTAAAAGACTGGGAGGTGATGAGGAGGAGGAGGTGATGTATATATCTAAGGAGGAGGTGGTGATATATCTAACATTGAGGAGGTGATGTATATATCTAACATTGGTTGGAGTTACTTTGTTTTATACTTTGGAGACTGGTAATATTTTGGTGTCCTTTTTAAATAGTCTGGTTGGCTAATAGAGAAGATTGCTCCCATGCTATGAAGCCATTTCCACTGTTCCTTCTGGCTCCCAGGAATCCTATCCTGATGGTGCTTTGAATACTCACAGTAGCATTTATTCAGGAGTGAATTCAGTGTGGATTAAGAGCAGCATGTTTTTATTGTTTCATTGTACTTTTCAGCTACTTTGTTTTATCACGTGGCATTTATGATACACAGAAACGTAAGCAAGTCAGACAATTATGACAAAATGAAGTTCCATACACGATTTCTGTAAGGTGGCCAGTTTTAAGTATGTAAAAATCAATAGCTTTCTTAAATGCCAGCAAGATCAGTCTTAAATTGTAATTTTTTTTAAAAAAAGGAGATCTTTTCCACAATAATAATAAAAACGAAAATACCCGGAGTAAACTTAACTCTAAATTAAAAAGTGTTTATTACTGAAGAACAGAAAAAAAAGACCAGAATAAACACAGACATGTTACATTCCTCAATGGAGAGGCTCAATTTGACTAAAAACAAGTTTCCTTAAATCAGTGTATACATTTAATATATTTTTGGAATTAATATACTGATTCTAAAGTTTGTCTTGAAAAATATTTATGCCAAAACTGCCAAAAATGTTTTGAAAAAGAATAATGAGGGGATATGACCCTCCTGCTACCAAAACATACTATAAAACTATACTTATTTACCACATCGGGGGCTGGTACTAGAAGAGGTTAAAATTAGTGGAATAGAATGGACTCTCGTATCAGTACCATATATATACGGGGAGTTTATAGGAAAAGTAGCATTTCAAATCTGCAAGGAAAGGATAGACCATTCAGCAAAAGTCTTGCAGCAATTGGCTGTTCCTTTAGAAATAGAGCCCCCTATCTCATATCACACGCAAAATGATTTTCAGATATATTTAAGTGCTAAATATAAAAGCAAAGCCATAAAACTCTTAGAGGAAAATGTGTTCTAATTCCTAGAGCTAGCTTTCATTATCAGTTTGATGTATATCTTTCCAAAATTTTACTGTGCATGCTCAAAAATATTTTTATTTACAGACTTTTTTACGGAAGTGGGATTCTACATATGTTTTCTGCCACTCACTATGGATGTAGCATAGTATATTTAATTAGACTCTATTGTTGCACATTGCGATTCTATTTATATTTTTTATACTTCAGTAATTCTGCAGTGAACATCCTTCAATGTAGTCATGCACTCTTGGGTGAGGAGGTAACTTTCTAGAAGCGGAATTCCTGAACTAAAATTGACTTGTATATTAAATTTTAGAAGATACTGTTAAATCCAACATTTGATGAGCGATTTTGAGGAAGGTGCTTGGATTTTTATCCTGAAAACTGAGAGTGATTTTTAAAGACTTTTAATCAAGGGAATGATCTAACTAAATTGTTGTTTTGGAGAGAACACTCCTTCTATTTTATGAACTATATTGCCTATATTTACTGTATTAAAAATTGAAATTGAGAAATTTAAGAAATATTTATGAATTCATTTAAAATCATCTTAATAAAGGCATTACATGCTATGAATAATATTTTTACTGAAAAATAGCTACATTTTAAAATACAAAAGCAAACTTTGTTTTGCATTTGTTTTACACTTTTTACAAATGGCTTAATAGAAAACAGCTGGACTCACATCTGCTTCTGCATTCAGTCTGTTGCAATATGTTGTTTTGGTTAAAGCATGTGAAGCAAATCTGGCTTTGTGCCAGTTGGAGAAGGGAGGAGTATTTCAATAGCCTTTTTGGGTAATTGTGGATATTCTTCTTTGATACTCAACAAGTGGCAATTTCTTTTTTTTTTTTTTTGCGGTACGCGGGCCTCTCACTGTTGTGGCCTCTCTCGTTGCGGAGCACAGGCTCCGGACGCGCAGGCTCAGCAGCTATGGCTCACGGGCCCAGCTGCCCCGCGGCATGTGGGATCCTCCCGGACCGGGGCACGAACCCGTGTCCCCTGCATCGGCAGGCAGACTTTCAACCACTGCGCCACCAGGGAAGCCCCAAGTGGCAGTTTCTTAAAGATTAATTGCAATGTGGAATCTGAAACCATGTCAGTGAACTTTTTTACTCTGTTACATTAAAATTCCTTGGTATTCCTTGCACTTTTACTGGGTCTTTCACCCATAGATGATTTTGTAACATCAGACATTGGTCTTTTGGAAAATATGGGTTCACTGAATTACAGACATCTTCTAAATGTTGACACACAATTCATGATACAGTATCAAAAGTTCACATTTGTTAATATCACCACCAATCTTCTGAAAAATCTTTAAGTACTAGAAAACTGTCAGACTCACAGTGACATGTACAACTTTTCCAAAATTCTAGGTTTCACGTGAAAGCTCAAATCTTGTCATTGACAAAGACTGTCAGTTGTTTTCAGCTGCTTGAAGTGGCAGTCTCGGTTCATTTTTTGAAAAAAATGTCTGCCAAATACCCAAGTGTGAATAACTGTAGCTTGTTAGTCATTCTTTCAAGTAAAAAATGATGTTTTGTGAAAAAAGTGACTAGTTCGGTTCGTAGCTCAAGCACACGTTCTTTTCCCTGAGACAACCTTTATCCTTCCATGTGCAGCACAGGAGCTGAAGGTGTGATTCTCACCTCGTCACACAGGATATTAAAAAGACGTGTACTCAGTAGTTGAGATTAATATGATTAATAATTTTCAGTGCTCATCGAGGACATCTGAAAGTGAAAGAGACTTCCTCCCACCGGGAGTGCTTGCTGGTGACGTATATCATGACTGCTAGTATAATGATCACCACTTCACGTTCGTGCTGAGGCTGCAGCCATTTTTCCCATCACGGCTTTGGCACCATTAGGACAAATGTCAACACAGTGAAAAAGATAGATAAGGACTCAGTATGGTTATGAAAACAGTTTTGACCTCGCAAATCCCCTGAAAAGGTCTTAGGTATGCCCAGGGTTTTGCCAACCGTGCTGTGACTAACGTAGGTAATGCCTTCAAAAAGTTTGCTTGTAAGGGGAAGAAGAGGTGATGAATTGCCATGAGTTGCAGAATAAGGAGAGCGTTTCAGCTTCTGCTTGACAGGGTCCTAGCATCCCTAAGTCGTGTTTCCAAGCTACTGTGATTGCCCCAGCTAATCACTAATGCCCTTTTTGGGGGCAGAACTTTCACAACAGGCTATTGGTGAACTGCTTATCAGTGAGTTGTCTTCTTTTCAGACAGTTCCTGGGACTGAGTCAGGAGGGTCAGTGTAGCTGTAGTTTTAAAAGGAACTGCCAGGGCTTCTGCGGCGCCCGCAACGTCTCTTAGAAGGGAGCGCAGCACTTGGCAGGCCCTTCAGATGGCTTATACTTACCCTGTACACTCATTTTACAAATTAAGAAATCAAGAGCCAGTGAGGTTCAGTAATTTGCCTAAGGCCATACTCAGGTCATGGTACTAGGATTCAAACCCAAGTCTACTTATTATTGCAGCCCTATTTACAATAGCCAGGACATGGAAACAACTTAAATGTCCAATGACAGATGAATGGATAAAGAAGATGTGGTACATATATACAATAGAATATCACTCAGACATAAAAAGGAACGAAATTGGGTCATTTGTAGAGACGTGGATGGACCTAGAGTCTGTCACACTGAGTGAAGTAAGTCAGAAAGAGAAAAACAAATATTGTATGTTAACGCATATATGTGGAATCTAGAAAAACGGTACAGATGAACCCTATTTGCAGGGCAGGAATAGAGACATAGATGTAGAGAACGGACATGTGGACACGGGGGTGGGGGGAAGAGGAGGGTGGGACGAATTGGGAGATTAGAATTGATGTATGTATACTACCAAGCATGAAATAGATAGCTAGCGGGAACATGCTATAAAGCACAGGAAGCTCAGCTTGGTGCTCTGTGACGACCTAGATGGGTGAGATTGGGGTGGGGGGGGTGGGAGGGAGGTCCAAGAGGGAGGGGATATAGGTATACATACAGCTGATTCACTTCATTGTACAGCAAAAATGAACAGCAATTGTAAAGCAATTATACTCCAATAAAAATAAATAATAAAATAAAATCCCTGTGATCTTTAATAAACAGAGCTGAAAGTAAACAGATAACTGAGCTAAAAGAGGTGTTACCCACATAGATGACGTGGATACAAGTTGCTAGGCTCCTGTAGTGTTTATTGATTGATAACATGCCCGATTTAGTACTTCAAGTTCATCTGTCAAATGGATTCCATTAAAATGAAAGTTAGGAAGAATCTATCTGAAGGTATTATAATAGTGCTCCATTTGGTAATTATAAAAATTTTTTTAGTTCATTTTACCTGCATGTTGAGTTCCAAAAGTAAATCAGGTGTCATGAATATTTATGTCTTTTATTAATACCTCACAGGTAGTTTCAGTCCAATTCAGTATTATTTAATGGTGCCTAGTCTGTTGGCAAAACACTGTATTGAGAGCTAGGCAATGAAAAATCCCTTTATTTGAGGGGGAGAGGTGCAAAAAGATTCTTTCCCTCTGTCAGCATTTATTAAGTAGTTATTTTATGCTAAACACTGCCAAAGGATGGAGCCACTGCTCAATATTGAAACAAAACTCAGCACAAAACCACATTTATTGCTGGTCAGCCACAGTCTCTTGGAGTAGACTCTTGAGGCTTTTTATTCCCCCTCCCTTGGGGGGAAGTATGGTTTTAGAGATTTGCAGACTTCTAGAAGCCATGGTTACTTGGGTGAGAGGGTTGTTGTTTGGCTGACACTCAGAAAGGAGCTTATTGGACTGAGTCTTCCGGATTGGCTAACTTGCAGAGTCCAAGAGCTCTCACTGATTGGTTGACTAACAAAACGTGTTCTCAGGGCCAGTTGTCATTGATTGATTACACAGGGTAAAACTAGTTCTGATGGCCACCTGTGACTAGGCCCCATCAGCCCTTCCCCAGGAATATGGGAACTTATAAATTATTAATTCTATACTAACTGTGTCCAATAGAAATGTGCTAATAGTCACATATGTAATGTTAAACTTCATAATAGCCACATTAGGACAAAGTTTAAAAAGAAGTGAAATTAGTTTTAGAAATATATTTTATTTAACCCAATATATCTAAAGCATTATCATTTTAACATGTAATCATTATAAAAATTATTTATGAGGTTATTTTACATTCTTCTTTCCATACCAGGTCTTCAAAATGTGATGTGTGGTTTTACACGTACAGCACATCTCAATTCAGACGAGCGGTATGGAAATGCTTTGGTTGTGTCATGTGGCTAGTGGCCTCCATTTTCGACAGTGCCGTCCTATAATAGCTGCTGGGGATACAGGGATGGAGAGAAGGCTATGCTTCCCTCCAGGGTCTCAGAGTCTCAGAGAGGCAGGGCCATGTAAACAAACATGCCATAGTGCTCTGTGCAGGCCCAGGACTGGGATGAGGCAAGCAAGGTACAAACACAATATTTAAGGACCCACTTGCTCTCAGGGTTGCATAGGTGCAGGGTCTGCCCCCAGGGTGAGCACCTCCTTAACTGCTGCACCCTTGACCCCCAAACACCTCGTTAGCCTCACCCTAGTCCCAGGGCAACCTGATCAAATGGCAGATTCTGGGGCCCTAACTCTAGAGCTTCCAATTCAGGCAATCTCAAGTAGGGTCTTGGAATCTGGAGTTTCAGTAAGCACCTCTAGGGATTCTAATGCAGGGGTTTAAGATCACCCTTTGAGAAACTCTGCCTGTGCCAGCAGCCTCATGTGAGAGTTCCTTTACATCCAGTGAAATAATTTCTGTCTTTCTCTTTGGTTTTGGAAGTAGATGTTGCTAAACTCATCAATTACTTATCTGCACTTTTCGGGGCTGCAGTGGGATTCTCAGGTCCCTCTGGTAGAAAGCTCTGAGTTGCTGGGCTTTGGGCCTAAAAGGACCATGGACTAAACAAACTAGAAAGCCAGTTTATTGTTATACAGACACAATGACTATTTCAGCGAGAAAACTGTAAAAGGCATGTGGTGCTGTTGAAAACAATGAGGATTGTGGGGGCTTCCCTGGTGGCGCAGTGGTTGAGAGTCCGCCTGCCGATGCAGGGGACACGGGTTCGTGCCCCGGTCCAGGAAGATCCCACATGCCGCGGAGCAGCTGGGCCCATGAGCCATGGCCGCTGAGCCTGCGCGTCCGGAGCCTGTGCTCCGCAATGGGAGAGCCCACAACAGTGAGAGGCCCGCGTACCGCAAAAACAAAAGCAAAAACAATGAGGAATGTGCAAAGAACTGAATTATTTGAGATGGGAGAGAGCAGACACTGAGCACTGCGTTCACTTTTGGCTACTTCACATTGTGTAGTTCATTTGACTCTGTCCAAGGCTCTTTTTATCTTGCCTTCACCCTAGTTATGTACCTAATTTTAATGATGCTCAAATAGAAAAAGGCGTCTGTCTATGCACCTTCAGGTTATAGCACACACAGACTGGCATTCTTGGCTGTAGGATTCAAGATACAGACCTGTAACTTCGGATGCGTTTACTCGGGAATGTGAAACAGCCCCAAATGAGGAGTATCTGATGTTTCGTATACATGTGTGTTCTTCCGTCTCCACCTTGGTGTGCTTCCTGCTGTCTCCTGCAGCTTCCTTTATCACCGGACACTTGGTGGATGTGGATGGGGGCCAGTCTCTGTACACACACTCATTTGAGATACCAGGTGAGCAGTTGAGAAATGAGTAGTCACTCACTTTACACCTTCTTCTGTTCAGGTTTTCAAAAGTTCTTTAGGTACTTAAGAGATAAGCTTTTATTTTTTCTTGTAGAACATCAAAAATGTACAAAATATTTATAGTCATCATATGATTTTTTTTTTTTGCGGTACGCGGGCCTCTCACTGCTGCGGCCTCTCCCGCTGCGGAGCACAGGCTCTGGACGTGCAGGCTCAGCGGCCATGGCTCACGGGCCCAGGTGCTCCGCAGCATGTGGGATCCTCCCGGACCGAGGCACGAACCCACGTTCCCTGCATCGGCAGGCAGACCCTCAACCACTGCACCACCAGGGAAGCCCATCATATGATTTTTAAAGGCAGTGTTCCTAGTCCAGAAAATATCTGAATATATTATAGCACACAGCTTTACATATTAAAAAAGTTGTTTGTGTGTGCATAGGCTGGTAAATTTTAACCTTGAAAAATACTCTCAATATGAGTATATATGTAAAGGAAGAGATAGAACGGAGGCAAGAAGGTGTCATACTTTTGAGAGTGAACTTCTCTTTGTTTCTCCAGTAAGTGGCTTGTGTATCTGAGCGGAAGAATCAGACCTGTTAGGTGGGGAGGGATGATATGGTGCTATTTCATACTATCTTTGCGTTATAGATTGAATGAAACCATATGAATTTGCCGTGTTCATTCATTTTTGATGTACAAAACAGCAGTTTTATAAGACGCATCCAAATGTAGATATTACACACAAATATCTGTGTGTGTCTGTTTATCTTATGGCTGGACCATAGAACTTGGGGGTTGGAAGGGTCCTAAAAAATCTGTCCAGCATCCTGATTCAACAAATGACAAGACACATCCATGGATTCAAGGCATGTCCAAGCTAATCACTCCCAAAATGTGGAAAAGAATATGAAATTCAAATGTGTTTGAACTGTTGCTAAAGATATTTGATTAAATGGCTGCTAGTGAATTAAAATGTGGTTGATGTAACGTATGTGTACTTGAATTTAACATCAGGGACCTACTCTTTTCAACCTACTCTTTTATGTGCTAATAGTCTTATCAAGGGTTCAGACCTTCTTTGCATTAATCACTGATTAGTTTGGATCTGTAATATTACTTATTATTTTCCCCTCCCGTATATTTCTTTACTAATAGCACCAGTGTGGTGACGTGCATAAGATACTGTGGCTTTAAGGATCTCATTTGGAAACACAGAAATGCCTACATGGTTATACAGTATTGTTTTCTGATAGTATTTAATGTAGCAAGGGTGGGGGGACAATCTTTCCACTTCCCTCACCAGTGGAGTTGAGTCAGTATTTGTTAAAGTGAGGTACATCGTTTTTCCTTTTTAAAGAAGAAAAAAAAAACTCGAGGTGAGTGCTTCTCCAGGCCTCCAGTGAAATGGTTTTCTTTTGTAATTCTAACACAGTTTTTTCATCAGTACAAAAAACAGGTTTTAAGTTTTTGAAGAAAGCAGCCACACCCATCTTTTAAGAATATACTCCCCCCAGATAATGAGCAGGCATAGTCAGCCTTTCCTTCTAAAGTTTTCTGCAAGATTGCCAGGCCTGCAGTGAGAATGCCTGGGATGGAAGCTTGGCTATACCCTTATTAGCTGATGTTCTTGGGAAAATTCATTTCTGGAAGCCTTCATGTTCTTTTCTATAAAGTGAGGTCCCTTATAGTATTCATTTCATCAGCTGTTGGGAAGATTAGATTAGTTAATGCATGTTTAAAGTCCTGTGTCAGATAGGATGCTTTTAGCTACAACTCAAACTGGCTTAAGCAATGAAGGAATTTGTTGTCTCAAATAACAGGTGAGACTTGACTCTGCAGCTCAGTGATCTCATCAAGGGCGTTTTTTTCCTTTTCCCTCTGTTTTTGCTGCTATGATGTTGGCCATATTGTAAGATGGACTCTCCTGGTAGCAGGATGGCTGCCTGCTGCACCTGCAGCTACAGGCTTCTTTGTTCACATCCACCTGGACAGAGACAGAGGGGAGGGAATGACTTTGTCTCAGCATTTCTAACCAAATTCTGAGACTCCCTCTGCTTGGGACCAGCTTATGCAAGTGTCCATCCTCAACCAGTAACTCCAGCCAGGGGAACCGAGTGCACTTATGACTTAGATCAGTCAGTGATCTGAGTAGGGTCACTTCTCCAGAACCTCATGGTTTTCTAAATGGAAACTGAGGCTGTTGGAGAGAGGAGATGGGAGACTGGCTGCTGGGGGTGTGGGCAGCTCTAAGTGTCTGGTACAAAGTAAGCATGTTTTAGAAGATGTTATTATTAAGGACGTAAGATTGATTGAATGTCTACATTATGTCCAGCACTGTACATAGGAATCACATTAACTCTCAACTTTAACAGATAGATGTTGTTATCCCCTTTAATAGATGAGGAAACTGAGGCACAGGAAGAGTAACTTCTCCAAATCTGTAGAAGTAACTTCTACAAAAGCTACTAAGTGGCGGAGATGGGATTCAAATTGAGGTTTTTTTCAAAACCTTTGCCATTCGTCCCAGTAATTTCTTTTTTCTTGCTGAGAAAAGGGGTGAACCAGGGAAAATGACAAAATGGTTTGGTGGAAACTAAGAGGACTAATGAGGTTAATAGATTTGCGTCTGACCCGAGGTTTTCCACTTACTTAACAGATCATGACAACTGGCCCCAGGGAGTAGGGGACCTTTCTTTTGTCAAAAGGATTAAAGAGTCTTCTAAGCAAAGAGGCAAGCTCTAGGCTAAGGAAACATGGAAGTGTCCTTTGTCCCCAAATACCTTAACATCTCAACAATGCACTTCTATACTTTACAGGAACATATAATCTGTATGGAAAACTTACATTCTGATTTTTTAATGTTATCAATTACATCTATGCAAAAACTATTCCTGAAATAAATGCATTTTTAAGTCCCAACCAATGCCCTTTAGCTTGTGATCAAAAAAATTTTTAGGAATGGAAGTTAACATACTTTATGATTATACTTTTTATTTCTAAGAATGGTATTTGAAAAGTGAAATATTTCAATTTAATGGTAGGGGTATCATGATCTCCCAAAAGGATATAATATTTAATTGTAAAGGTAGGCAGTAAATCTAAATTGTGGCATCATTATGATTTTTACAACAGAAATATACAAAGAATCATTTTTGGTGGCAGATATAATACTTTTGGATCAGTAAAGCTTTATGTAATTATTGCTGTGTGGTTTGTTCATGAAGCCAATTTTGTGTAAACCCTCTTAATTAAAAAGAAAAATAAAGTCATAAGTAGTATTTTTTGCAGTGCTTGATATGTGTCTTGATTTCTTAGCCAAAGATTCCTCTTTCTCCATGTTTCTCCTTTTTACGCAAAAAAAATTTTTTATTTAAAATTTATGCAGTTGTATTAGGGTTCTGCTTTCTTCCTTCAGTTTATCCTTTCTGGCAATCAGTCCCGATTTATGACGTGCCACCTACAAACTATGTATGTTCATTTCTCCTCTTAATCAAACCTCTTTAAAGAGACTTATTCCCTCTTGAAGTGAAGCAGTTTCTTTATCAGTAACAGTCAGTTCAAAGTATATGATTGACCAAGCTCTGGGGTGGGGGGCCCAGAATCTGTAATTTTTGCAGCATCCCAAGCAGGTCTGGGACTAGGATGAGGCCAATGAGCTGCCTTGGGCCCCATGTAAGGAGGTGCTCACTCTCAGAAGTGAACAAGTGCAAGGCCACCCTTGAGAGTGAGCCCATGTTCACTTAAACGTTGTCCTCATTCTGTGAATGTGGAAAGATCAGAAATCTTCCTTTCCTCCTAGACTACATTTTAACAGTAGCCTTCTGGAGATGATAACATCACAGCTTCTAAGAATTACAAGCCACAGCTTCTAAGAATTACAAGCTTCTAAGAATTACAACCTGTGGCCCCGGCACAGGTTGGTGCGGAAGATGGAAGAAGCAGGGCTTGCTTTTCAAATTGCTTCGTGTTGGTGACTGCTGACAACCCCTTATATCTCCATAGGTTGACATTTGCTTATTTCTGTTTAAGACATGGAGGCTGCCCTACGTAGCACTAAACTCAGCTCCAGCTCCTTATTAGATCTTCTTGTTCGACTGTCACTGTACAGCTGATCATTATCTGTGCTCTAGAAATATAAGTCTGCTCTCCAGGATTTCTGTGTGTGTCATAATAATGTCTTGTCAATAATGTTCTTCTGCTACTACACTTGGTAAATTTTGCTGTAGATTGGATGTTCCTGAATAGCCTTACTCATTCACTCAGCTAATAGTTTGGAGCCCCTCCTATGTGCTCAGCATTATGGTGGGAGTCGGGTGTTCAGTAGTGAAAAAAAATACGCACAGAAATTTAAAATTCCCAAATAATCTTTTTTGTTTTATTTATTTATTTTTATTGAAGTATAGTTGATTTACAATGTTGTGTTCGTTTCAGGTATACAGCAAAGCAATTCAGTTTCATACACACACACACACACACACACACACACACACACACACACATATCCTTTTTCAGATTCTTTTTCCACTATAGGTTATTATAAGATATTGAATATATACTAGTGTGTATCTGTTAATTCCAGACTCCTAATTTATCCCCGCCTTTCCCCTTTGGTAACCATAAATTTGTTTTCTGTGTCTCTTTCTGTTTTGTAAATAGGTTCATTTGTATCATTTTTTAAGATTCTACATGTAAGTGATGTCATATGATATTTGTCTTTCTCTGTCTGACTTATTTCATTTAGTATGATAATCTCTAGGTCCGTCCATGTTGCTGCAAATGGCATTATTTCATTCTTTTTTATGGCTGAGGAGTATTCTGTTGTATATATGTACCACATCTTCTTTATCCATTCATCTATTGATGGACATTTAGGTTGCTTCCATGTCTTGGCTATTGTAAATAGTGCTGCTATAAACATTGGGGTATATGTATCTTTTCGAATTAGAGTCTTCATCTTTTCCAGATATATGTCCAGGTGTGGGATTGCTGAATCATATGGCAGCTCTCTTTTTAGTTGTTTTAAAGAACCTCCATACTATTTTCCATAGTGGCTACACCAATTTACATTTCCACTAGCAGGATAGGAGGATTCCCTTTCTCCTCTCCAGCATAGAATTCTTCATTATTTTAGGTGCTACAGAGGATAAGGTCATGGTACTAAAGGCATATAACAGGAAGAAAAAGACATCTTGAGAAAAACAAAAGCAATTCTATAATCATGTTAAAAGAGGTTGTTGATAAGGTGACCTTTGTCACCTCCTTCCACACACACTGCTCTTTTGGTTCGTGGCTTGTGTTCGTTCAGGTCCTCAGAGAAGAAGATGCCAGGGAAGAGTAAGATGTGCTTGAGACTTCTGGGGAATGTGCCCGTGGAGCGTAAAGGGCAGGGAGCCTGAGAAGGCATCCACAGCCTTCAGACTGTGATGGAGTCTGAGACTTGTAAAAGAAGGAGGAAGAGGGCTTCCCTGGTGGCGCAGTGGTTGAAAGTCCGCCTGCCGATGCAGGGGACACGGGTTCGTGCCCCGGTCCGGGAAGATCCCACATGCCGCGGAGCGGCTGGGCCCGTGAGCCATGGCCGCGGAGCCTGCGCGTCCGGAGCCTGTGCTCCGCAACGGGAGACGCCACAACAGTGAGAGGCCCGCGTACCGCAAAAAAAAAAAAAAAAAAAAAAAAAGGAGGAAGAGAGGAATGGGCAGGAAACACCTTGGACTGTAGCCACGGTTGCCACACGTGCGCGAACACAGTCACAGTGGGGCAAAAGGGTATCAGGAGGCATTCAGTGGGTCACCTGGTTCCCTGTCCCTCCCTGTCCCCACTGTAGAAGAGCAGCTCTGACTCCTTCTGCTGGTGATGGCAACTCCTTTTCTCACCAGCTGGTACCTGGTCACAGGGAGTCTAAAGTGCCCTAGAATCAGACACAGTTTAGTTTAATGGAACCTTGCTGTGTCCCTTGACAAGAGTTGCCCCTTTGGGACAAGGACCTCCAACGCCGCAGAGCCCAGAATTGCAGGGACGGGGAGGACAGAGTCCCATGGTGGATCTTAGGGAGCGATGGCAAGTAGAGCCACTCCCTCTTCCACTCCTCGGTTCCCAGCGTGTTCCCAAAGCCAATGGGGACACGTGTCCTGAAGAACAGTTCTCCATCCTTTCAGATGGTGGGTGGCTCCTCAGCTGTGCCTTGGCTGTTGTAGTCCTCTGTGAGGCTGGCTGCTTCTGTGGGGTGTGACACAATCAATGGTTCCATGATCCACTCTGATCACCTGGTTGGATGCTGGGGCACAGGATTCCACACCTGTGGATCCCATAAGCTCCTAGATAGCAGTGATGTCTGAGTTCCTGTGAACAGGAAAGGCAAACTCTTACCTGGAATGGTATCTATCACTTCTCTCACTGTAAGGTGTGACACAGATACTATCAATCATTTGAACAGGGAAAGTTTAGTATAAAGAATTATTAACTCTAACAGGGGATTGGCTAGTAGGAAGTAAAGAGAACTTTAAAGGATACAGGAATAGTAGACAGAAGGAGTAGCTATACAGGGCTGATAGAGAATTGCCCATCCACGCACCCCTCCACCCAAGGGCTGAGGGAGGGCATGGCTGTGGTTCACTGGATGGCAGAGAAGTCACTCGTCATCTGTGGTGCTCTGCTGGTGGAATTTGCTAGAAATCTGCCCTCTAGGGTGCCGGGGGGCAGCTGCTGCAGCTGCTGGCCAAGGTGCACTGCTGCCTGGGGGCTGCCAGGTGGCGGGCAGTACAGGAGTCAAGAAGCAAAACCCTTTTCCTCCCGCGTCTCTCCATCGCCCTCTACTGACAAAGCTTTGGTGCTAGCTGGCAAAGGAGGAGCTACGTAAAGGGCCTGGATCCATTTTCAAGGAGCAGAGAAGCAATACATCCATAACTGGCTCACGTGTCGACTTGCCGTCCAGCAGCGCTTGTTCACCACGAGGAATGTGCCATCTCGGTGCTCAGCGTTGGTCTCTGTGCGGACAGATTGGACATTCAGAGGCAGCACTAACTATATGGGCCTTGGGTAATTGGGGTTACATGCTGGATTTCTGCTTTCCTCCATCCCTGAGCCCATGGTGCCAGTTCTGCGGTGGCCGATGAGGAAGCCCGAGCAACACTGACGGGCTGAGTCTTCTTTTCTGCTTGGTTGTTCTGTGCCTCTTCCATGGTGGATGCCTTCTGGGGAGCATTACTGTGTGAGACAGAAATAAACACGTTGTGCCCACTCCTCTGTGTTTATCCATATGTCTCTACCTCAGACCCCCTGGTTTCCAATCTTTCAGTCCTTTTCCTTCCAGGTTCTTGGCCAAAGAACCAGACCTTGGGCCACTGTGCAGGAATCTGTACATTCTCACCTTGGGCTTCCTTTTTTCCAGTGTGGATACCAGCTGCACTACCTGCAGACTGCCTCTGAGAAAGATTTTTCCCACTCCACTGTCTTACAGGGCCACCCCTGAATGTGGCTATAATGAAGTTCTGACAATGGTGAAGGAGAGAGGGAAGGAAGGAGGCCTGGGTAGGAAGAGTCTCAGGCTGCCGCACAGTCGGAGGAAGGGTCCACCAGGCTGACGCATCCGCTGCCCAAGTTTTGGGGCCAAAGTCACCCATTGGTCTCTCAGGAATGGGTGTGAATTAACAGCTTAGCTGTGCTCAGTCTAGGTGGGAGCAGCCCAAGGGCAAATGCAGTGGTGGATCCACCGGTGCCACAGCTAGAGCTGTCAGTCAGCTCTGTTCCCCATGGCAGGAGATGTAAACAGTGCATTTTCATGGCTGCCACGGGGCTAGATGCTGTACCTGTGAAAGTTACCATTGGCCACATTTGTTTTGGGTTTTTTTTTTT